GGCTATTGTAAATGGAGCTGTAGTCACATAGGAGTGCTCATATCCCTTCAAATTTATGTTTTTGCATCTTTGGGCAGATACCTAGGAGTAGAATTACTATATCATATGGTAAATCCATTTTTAAAATTTGAGAAACATCCACACAGTTTCCATATTGGTTCAAACTGTGTACATTCCCGTGAACATTGTCTGAAGGCCCCTTTTTTCTTTACATCCTTGTTAACACTTAAAGTTTTCTGGTCTTGTTGATATGGGCCACTCTCACAGGTGTGTGATGATTTCCCGTTGTGGTTTTGATTTGCATTTTCCTGATGATTGGTGATGATGAGCATTTTTTCATTGCCTGATAACTTTTTGTATGCTTTCTTTGGAGAAGTGTGTATATAAAATACAGTTTCTTTGTTGGAAATTTTGCAAAGTCCTTGAAGTACTATTACTATTCCACATTCCTCACATTTTTTATCTTACAGTATTTTACTTATAATCCTTTCTACATATTTGCAATACATATTTAAAGGTTTCTTCTGTGTTATACATTTGTTGTTAGGATATATTATGTTGCTTACCATCACCATGTAAGTATAATACAAATTTCGATAACTATTATATATAAAAAGTAAAATTATATGATTAGTATTTATTTTTGTTTTATTCATGTTTAGCATTAATAATAGTTTGTTCACAAGAACAAGTGCTATATTTGATTATATGTGAAATGCATATTTTTATTAATTAATTTCTTATGTTATTAATTTTTGGACAATATATGATTTCCTCAAGTGTAGTCCCTATAATTCTTACACCACCATAGCACCTATGATCCCTCTCCCATGTCCCTTATTCTCTTCCCTCCCCTGTTTGAACCCATGTCCCTCCCCTTCCCCTGATGCTTACATCAAGTCTGTGGTCTGCTTGCAAGTTTTGTCTTTTTCCTAACCCTTTGTTTGGTTTCTCTATATTCCACATGTAAATGAAACCATCTAATATTTATCTTCTTCCTACTGACTCATTTAGTATAATCCCTTCCAGCTCCATCCATGTTGCCACAAATGGTATGAGTTTATCTTATTTGAATGTTGAGTACTATTCCGTTGTGTATATATACTACAGTTTCTTGATCCATTCATCTGTTTGGGGTATCTAGGTTGTTTCCATAGCTTAACTCCTGTTAAAAGTGCTGCAACATAGAATTGCAGGTTTCCTTGTGTTCTTGGGGTAAATTCCTAGGAGTGGTATTGCTGGGTCATTGGTAGCTTTATTAGTAATTTGAGGAACCTCCACACTGTTTTCCATGGGGGCTGGACCAGTTTGCAGTCCCACCAGTAGTGTAAGAGGGTTCCTTTTCCACCACATCCTCACCAGCGCTTGTTGTGTCTTTTTTTTTTTAAGATTTCTTAAAATAAGTATTTCTTAGTCATTTCCTTTATTTACTCTTTTAACATGTATATCAGTATTTCAACTGTCCCTTTTTGGGGTGACTCTGGAGGCTGGGAGAATAAATTATGGTTAGAATTGGGAAAGGTAAAAGATCTTTCTTTCTTTTTTTAAACAGCAGAAGGCCAGTCATGGACAGCTGGACATAAGGGAAAAGAACCAGCACAATCATATGTCCATTTGGAAGTTGATCTGAAATTGATTCCATAAAATGACCAATGCCCATATACATCTATTTGAAGACTACTGTCTTAATTTCTCTCTCTCTTGTTCCTTTAAAAGACTTTTGATTGCTTCTTTTTTTATTGTTGAAAATAGTGCTAAAATGAACATTTTAAAACACAAGTCTTTGCAATTCTGCCATTATTTTGTAAGGATAAAACTTCAGTGCTAGATCAAAGCATATGATCTTGTAAACATTTGATAGAAATTAATAAGCAGGGGCCTCCCTGGTGGCGCAAGGGGTTGAGCACAGTGCTGTGAAGCTGTCCCCAGCCTCTGCAGTGCAAGTTCGATCCCAGTCAGGGAGCTACCCACATGGGGCAGCAGACCTCTCCTGCCTTGCCCGCTGCTCCCCTTAGCATTGTACTTCGGTCTCTCTGCCTGTTCTGTTCCCTTCTCTGTCTCTGGTGAATCCTCTCACCTCCCACACCTCTGGCCTGTACCCCAGTTCTTGTAATCATAAATAAATAAATCTTAAAAAAATAAAAAAAAAGAAATTAACAAGCACGTTTTCTAAAGCTTTTGGTTAGATTTGCCAGTTATCCTTTAGAAAGATCACATTAATTTATATTCCCACCAATAGTGTTTAAGAATCAAAACCCAACCATACATAAATGTATTCTTATTATATGAGTCTAATTTTGAATTCTGCTTGGGTTGTGTTAATTTTGAAATTTTGACATAAGAACAGCTGCCGTTTTACACAGTTTTTATTGAACTTTTTTCTAAAAAATTTTGAATTTTGATTATAAGTATATCATGCCTACACTTGAAACAGGAATTTTGCATACCTCTTAGGGGAGTTACAAAAAAGCCTTTGTTTATCATTTAATGTAATTTTCCTAGGTTCTAAAGCACAGCCTTGTCTTTGGAATGCTGTAGCTTTCTTTTTAGAAAGCATTGCCATGCATGATATTATGGCAGCAGAGAAATGTTTTGGCACTGGGGTAACAGGTAATGTACCCAGCCCAGAAGAAGGAGAAAGGTATAATTATGGCAAGTGCACAATTGTGGTCCGGATAATGGAATTTGCCACAACGTTGCTCAGTGCCTCTCCAGAAAACTGGAAGGTAGGTCATTCCCACTATTCTTTTAACCTGAGACCTGTTCTGGATACTAGAAAAATGCTTGTACTGTATCTGTTAGGAGTAGTTTTGATTTTCTTAGTGCTTTATATTGCCAAAGGCGTACCCATATTTGAAAATAATAAAACTTATTATGAACTTCAGAAAGCAAGTGGCAAAACAAAACAGTTTTTCTAAATGTTTTATTGGCTACTACATTCTATACTATCAAACATCTGCCTTAAGAAATATGCATTAGCAAATATTGTTTTACAATAAATGTACAATAAATGTACTTATTGTACATTTGTACTTACTATAGAAACCAAGTTCCATTAAGTTCATCCAGTTGATATAGAGTAAGTACCTATTTTATGCCAGGCCTATATTAGAGACACAGGATTGTCCAGCTAATGGCTAGCTGGTAAATTCATTCTGGGATGACTCTACCTGCTGCCTGCTTTTTAAAGAAGGCCATATTGGAACATGTTTAATCCCATTTGTTCATATATTGTTATGGGTGCTTTCACTTAAAAAGGCAGTTACATAGTTGCAACAAAAACTGTATGGCCCTCAAAGCCTAAAATATTTACTGTCCAACACTTCACGGAGAGAGAGGCCAACCCCTGCCTAGGCAAGCAAACACTCCCAACCTCATGGACCTTATACTATAGGAAACACCAAAATGATTACTAATGTGTTTTTATTCAAATCCTCTTTTACAGCTCCTCGAGAAGGATTTATATAACACAAACCTTATGACACTCTTGGTGAAAACTGTGTGTGAGCCCTCAAGCATAGGTTTCAACATTGGTGATGTTTCTGTTATGGATCATCTTCCCAATGTTTGTGTAAACCTGATGAAAGCACTAAAGAAGTCCCTACACAAAGACTTCCTAGAAATGCACCTAAAGGAAAAAATAACAGCAGAGAGGTGGGCATTGGGATCATGTTCAGGGTTATTATTATGGTGGAATTCAAGATCACAGCTTCTTCCACATTCCGGCTGTTGCCTGTGTGACTGCTGCAGCCCTTATTCCTAAAATAAAGGATCTCCTCAGTGGGGTGCTTCATGCAGAATGTCTTAACATTTGTTTGAAAATCATCTCTTTAGCAAATGGCTTCCCTGTACTTTAATGGAATCCTTCCTCAGCAGTAGCTTAGTGTCATGTTAGTTTCCATGACTGGATTAGCAAGTGGGCCTCTAGTTTGATGTCAGCATGTGTTGCTTTCCAGGGTCAACAAAATATACACGTTTTTTCCCCAACTGTGTCTTAATAATTTAATAGCACCAACACTCATATGGTTTTGTTTTTGTTTTACTCACATGGCCAGCATTGAGGAAATTTGTGCCATTGACCTGTATGGCCCGGATGCTCATATCGATAGGGCCAAGCTGGCTTCCATTGTGTCAGCTTGTAAACAACTTCACAGAGCTGGATTTTTGCATGTGGTAATACCATCTCAGGTAATCACAGCTAATTTGTTTTTATGGTGCCCTTAGCTTTATTACGCTAATTATTTGTGATCTTTATTAAGCATCCTTTATGTAAAAGGGCATATTAAAATAGGAATTATTCCAGACACATAGGTGTTACCTAGAATGCAAATATAAAGGTAAGTATAAACATTTATAAGTATAACATAAAGAATATTTTTGAGTATTTCCCATCCCTTCTGAAGAACTTAAGGGACTAGCTGCTGTCATGCCTGCCTGTATGGTTTTTCAACATGAATGAAAAATAGAGCACAGAAAGCAAAGATGAGTGAATAGTTTTCTGACAATTAGAAGACAACTGTCCATGTTAGCCAACACAGATTTTAAAAATTTAATTTTGCAAAGAAGAACTGGGGTTTAGGTCAGAGGTATGATGGGTAAGAGGATTTATCAGAGACAGAGTAGGGAGCAAAACAGGTAGATTTACTGAAATATCCTGCTAAGGGGAGCAGCAGGCAAGACAGAAGAGGTCTGCTATGCCATATGTGGGTTAACTCTCTGGGTGGGAATCGAACTCAGGCTGTAGTGGTGATAGCACTGAGACTTAATCATAGACCACCAAGAGGCCCCTGTCATGGATTTTTTTTTTTAAAGATTTATTTATTTATTTATTTATTTATTCAAGCACTGGGTACAGTCAAGTGCGGGAGGGTGAGAGAATTCACCAGAGCCAGAGAGAGGAGCAGAACAGGCAGACTGATGAAATACACTGCTGAGGGGAGTAGCGGGCGCGGCAGGAGAGGTCTGCGCACCATGTGGGACCCTCGCTGGCAGCCAGTGCTCAACTGCTGCGCCACCGGGGAGGTCCTCTCATGGATTTTTTTAATCTAGAAAGGTGTGAACTTGTTTTTCTGTAAAATGACTTACTGCTGAATATTAGAGTGTTGACTTTATTTTAGTCTACAGATCAGCATCATCCTGTTGGCACAAAACTTCTTTCCCTGGTTTATAAAAGCATTGTACCTGGAGATGAACAGTATTTTCCTTCGCTAGACCCCAGTTGTAAACGATTGGCCAGTGGACTTCTGGAATTGGCCTTCGCTTTTGGAGGACTGGTAGGAAAAACAGCTACATGCTGTTCTATCCTAATGATGTAAATATGTAATTCATTTGCAATATGTCTAAAAATGGGAATTTAGTTGAGTAAGTAGAACAACATTCTTCTGAAATTGAGATTTTATTTATCCCACTTTGTTTCCAAAAGGACTTTAGTCAGAGAACATGAACAACTTTGGGAATATAAAGCTGGATTGTGTTGATGCAGTGGCCTGTCATTGATGATTGATTAGGTGGCTGATTTGGGGAAAGCCTGTGGAGGGTCATTGCAGAAACATCACAACAAATATTTTTATGGCTTTCTGGATTGTGCAGGACTGTTATAGCTGAGATCTGCCAATCAATCCTGTGTGTTCACTGCATTGCACCTATCTTCCCTTTACCTGTGGCATAAACTTATACTTTGTCCCTTTATGTACCTAATGTAAACAAATCACACATTTAAATTGTCTAAAAATATTCTCTTAAAGCAGTAACATGATTTTCTAGAAATTTGGAGGGAATGTGAATTGGGAGATTTATTTCCTCAAGAAATGGAAATCATCGAGATATATACAATTTAAACTCAAACCTGACCTTCAACCATCAGGCTCATTTTAATCTGTGCTATATGATTTTTCACTTTCAAAGTTAACAGCTGCCCAAGGAATCTTTCTATAATACTAGGACATACACTCCCTTATCATACTTTTCTTCTTTTTGCAGTGTGACTGCCTTGTGAGTCTTCTGCTGGATAAAGCAGTGTTGTCCATGCCGTCCTTGAGAGTGTCCCATAGAAACAACATCAGCTTTTCCCATGGAGAGTACTTTTATAGTTTATTCTCAGAAACAATTAATGATGAATTATTGAAAAATGTAGATTTTGCTGTATCGGAGCTAATGAAATCATCCACGGATAATCCCAAAATGGTAATGGGAAATTTCCTCTAAGTAAATATTTTCTTATATAATGCTTATAGAAAGATTACCATGTTGTTGAAATATATCATTAAACTATATGTCTTCCGGAAGGTTTAAAGCGCTTGTCGTCGTTTAAAACAAAATAGAAGAAAACCAAACACAACTTTTATGAATGTTAATGAATGTTGAAACATTGATTATTTTTCCTAATCCCTTATTCCTCTCAAATCTCCTGGCTTAATAATAATGCAAAGTGTGTAGGATGACTTTTGCCTAGCGTGGAGCATGTAATCCTGTCCTGAGACCCAGTCTGTCCTTGTTTTTCCACCAGACATGAGCTGTATTTCTTTGTCTGCCTATGGTTCTTTCATGGTCTCCACACTGAGATTCATCTTTTCTTGCATGTTCCTGCTTTAACCCAGTTTGCTCCCTCATATTGAACCTTTGGAGATCAGTTTTTAATATATAGTTTGCTTTGGTTTGTTAACTTAAATGATTTTCAAATTTAACCTGCTTTTTGACAGTCAGAAACTTTCAACTGTTAGAATGGCCATTTTCAGGAAATGTAATTTCCTATGGTATTAAGCTTTTCATTCCAAACAGTGCTGTTGTTTATTCCAAGGGACTATTTTATAGTGGATTGCACTACAAATTATATATTTTAAACTTAGAATTAAACTGGAGTAGACCCAAAACATTCAGGAGATGTAACATTTTGAGGTTTTCAGCCATCAGACTTTTGGTGAAGGTTATAGATTAAAAACCATACACATTTAGCTCCATTTCTTCTTCAAAAGTGTGATTTAAAAAAAAAAAACAGTCCTAAATCCACACTTCAAAAATGTGATTAAAAAAAAACACACAGAGAAAAGGAGGAAAGAGGAAAGTGTCAATATTTTGGAAGCTGGAAAACAAGATGACAATGACAGATTTTACAGTTCAAGAAAACTGCAATGTGATATAGCGATGGGGGAATAAGGCCTAATTGGTGCTGTGGAACCCTGAAAATTGCTGAATTCCTAGCAATTGAGTCTAGTGAATAGGGTATGTAGGAAGACTGAACAGAGGAGGACTGGTTGAAAGTTAGCCATCTTCTACCAGGTCCCACACCAGTACTCTGTGCTCAGGGAACTGATCCTTCCTACTTCAGGAGACTGGAGGCAATAGATTCTCAGAAAAGGAAAATTATCTAGGCACAGTTCTTTCTTTTAAAGATTTTATTTTATTTATACAAGAACTGGAGTACAGGCCAGATGCGCAGGAGGGTGAGAGAATTCACCAGAGACAGAGCAGGGAACAGAACAGGCAGACTGATGAAATACACTGCTGAGGGGAGCAGAGGTGAGACAGGAGAGGTCTGCTTGCCCTGCGGGTTGCTCCAAGCCCATCGTGGATCGAACCGGCACTGCAGATGCTGCAGACAGCTTCACAGCGCTGCGCTCAACCTCCTGCACAACCAGGGAGGCCCCCTTAATAAGACCTTTAGTGAAGATTATACTCACTGTTATTTCATTTTTATATTTTTTACATCATTTTTCATTTTGCACAATGTGTGCATTTTCATCTTGGTTATATTCCCCATACAATTCCCACGTCTCTTATTTTGACACTAATCCTCTCCTCTCGCCCATAGTGTGTCTCTGGTTTGTAGTTGCTTGTTGATTTTGATTTTTACTTTAATGTAATTAGTCTTCTTCCTGGTCCCTTATTTAGGTTTTCTAAATTCCTGCTATGAATGAGACCATCTGGTATTTTTCTTTTTCTTTTTGGCTTATTTCGCTGAGCATGATCCCTACCGGCTCCATCCATGTTGCTGCAAATTGCATGAGTTTATCTTCTTTGATTGCTGAGTAATATTCCATATATACCACATCTTCTTGATCCAGTCATCTCTTTTTGGGCATTTGTGTTGTTTTCATAGCTTAGCTATTGTAAATAGTGCTGCTATAAACATGGGGGTTCAGGTGCCTTTTGGAATTAATGATTCTGTGTCCTTTGGGAAAATACCTAGGAGTGGAATTGCTGGATCATATGGAAGCTCCATCTTTAGCAGGTTGAGGAATCTCCACACAGCTTTCCATAGTGGTAGGACCAGTTTGCACTCCTACCAGCAGTACGGAGAGTTCCTTTTTCTCCACATCCTCACCAACATTTGTTGTTGCTAAGTTTTTTTTAATATGTGCCATTCTCACTGGTGTAAGATGGTATCTCATTGTAGTTTTGATTTGCATTTCCCTGATTACAAGTGATGCTGAACATTTTTGGTATGTGTCTTGGCCATTTGCATTTCCTCTTTGGAGAAATGTCTTTTCAGCTCTTCTGCCCATTTTTTGACTGGATTATTTACTTTATTTTTGTTGAGTCTCTTCAGCTCTTTGTAGATTTTGTGATCAGTCCTTTATCATTAGTGTTGTGTGCAAAAATTTTCTCCCAGTCGGTTGGGTGTCAGTTTGTTTGGGCTACTGTCTCTTTTGCTGTGTAGAAACTTTTTAATTTGATGTAATCCCAGCAGTTTATCTTTGCCTTTGCTATCACTGCTTTGGATAATGAGTCTTTAAAGATGTTGCTGAGGTGTATGTCATGTAGTGTTTCGCCTATATTTCCTTCTGTATATTTTATAGTTTCAGGTTTTATATCTAGTTCTTTAATTCATTTTGAGTTGGTTTTTGTGCATGATGTGAGGTAGTAGTCAAGCTTCATTCTTTTGCATGTAGCGACCCAGTTTCCCAGCTCCATTTATTGAACAAACTTTCTTTGCTCCATTGTATGTTCTTTGCTCGTTTGTCAAAGATTAGTTGACCATAAATCTGTGGGTTTATTTCTGGATTTTCTATTATGTTCCATTGGTCCGTGTGTCTGTTCCTGTTCCAATACCATGCAGTTCTGATGATTATGGCTTTGTAGTATAGTTTAAAATCTGGGAGTGTAATGCCTCCATTCCATTCTATTTTTTTCAGGAGAGCTTTGGCAATTCAGGGTTTTTGGTGGCTCCATACGAATTTTATCAATATTTGTTCTGTTTCTTTGAAGAATGTCATTGAATTTTTACTGGGATAGCCTTAAATCTGTAAATTGCTTTTGGGAGGATGGCCATTTTAATAATGTTAATTCTTCCAATCCATGAGCATGGGATGTCTTTCCATTTCTTTGTGCCTTCTTCTATTTCTTTTTTTTTTTTTAAATATTAAATTTTATTTTTATATTCCCCCATACAATTGCAAACGCCCCATTCTGACCCCAATCCTTCCCCTCCCGCCCCCACCCCCAAAAAGTGTCTCTGGTTCATAGTTTTTTTGTTGATTTTGATTTTCACTTTCTTATATTCATTTTCCTGGTCCCTTATTTAAGTTTTTTAGATTCCTGCTATGAGTGAGACCATCCGGTATTTTTCTTTTTCTTTTGGCTTATTTCGCTGAGCATGATCCCTTCCAGTGCCATCCATGTTGCTGCAAATTGCATGTGTTTATCTTTTTGAATGCTGAGTAATATTCCATGGTATATATGTACCACATCTTCTTGATCCAGTCATCTATTTTTGGGCATTTGGTTGTTTCCAAAGCTTAGCTATTGTAAACAGTGCTGCTATAAACATAGGAGTGCAGGTGCTCTTTGGAATTGATGTTTCTGTGTCCTTTGGGTAAATACCTAGGAGTGGAATTGCTGGATCATATGGAAGCTCTATGTTTAGTAGGTCCAAAAATCTCCACACAGCTCTCCATAGTGGTTGGACCAGTTTGCACTCCCACCAACAGTGCACAAGAGTTCCTTTTTCTCCACATCCTCGCAAACATTTGTTGTTGCTAGTTTTTTAATATGTGCCATTCTCACTGGTGTGAGATGGTATCTCATGGTAGTTTTGATTTGCATTTCCCTGATTACAAGTGATGTTGAACATTTTTTCATATGTCTGTTGGCCATTTGCATTTCCTCTTCAGAGAAGTTTCTTTTTAGCTCTTCTGCCCATTTTTGACTGGATTATTTTCTTTGTGTTGCTGAGTCTCATCAGCTCTTTGCAGATTTTTGTGATCAGTCCTTTATCATTAGTGTTGGGTGCAAAAATGTCTCCCAGTTGGTGGGGTTTCTCTTTGTTTTGTTATTGTCTCTTTTGCTGTGCAGAAGCTCTTTAATTTGATGTAGTCCCACTGTTTATCTTTCTCTTCACTATCACTGCTTTGGGTGATGTGTCTGTAAAGATGTCTTTGATGTGCAAATCCCGTAGTGTTTCGCCTATATTTCCTTCTATGTATTTTATGGTTTCAGGTCTTATGTCTAGTTCTTTAATCCATTTTGAGTTGATTTTTGTGTATGGTGTGAGGTAGTGGTCAAGCTTCATTCTTTGCATGTAGCGACCCAGTTTTCCCAGCACCATTTATTGAACAAACTTTCTTTGCTCCAATGCATAGTCTTCGCTCCTTTGTCAAAGATTAGTTGACCATAATCTGTGGGTTTATTTCTGGATTTTCTATTCAATTCCATTGGTCTGTATGTCTGTTCTTGTTCCAATACCATGCAGTTTTGATGATTATGGCTTTGTAGTAATTTGAAGTCTGGGAGTGTGATGCCTCCATTTCCTTCTTTTTTTTTCAGTAGAGCTTTGGCTATTCGGGGTTTTGGTGATTCCATATGAATTTCATCAATAATTGTTCTATTTCTTTGAAGAATGCCATTGAGATTTTGATTGGAATAGCATTGAATCTGTATATTGCTTTTGGTAGGATGGCCATTTTAATAATGTTATTCTTCCAATCCATGAGCAGGGGATGTCTTTCCATTTCTTTGTGTCTTCTTCTATTTTTCTTAACAGTGTTTTATTTTTCTTTGTATAGGTCCTTTACCTCTTTTGTTAGATTATTCCCAAATATTTGATTTTTTTTTGTTTCGATAATAAAAGGGGTGGTTTTTTTGATTTCTTCTTCTTCAGATTTATTGTTTGTGTATAGGAAGGCTACTGACTTTTGCGTGTTGATTTGTATCCTGCCACTTTACTGAATTGATTGATGAGTTGAATTAGTTTTTCTGTGGAGATTTTGGGGTTCTCTATGTAT